CCACTCGCGGCCGCCTTTCCATTCCTTAACGAAAGTCCAAGGAGCAAGAGAAGAGAAGGATGCTTTCAGTGTGGAAGGGATGGTCACTCACGAATTGGCCTCCTCAGCCAATCAACAAGTGGGGAAAGTGCTGGATAGCTCAGCAGTTTAGATATCTTAGCTGTGGAGCCGGAGGTTGGGAGTTCGAATCCCCCACTGGCTTTTTACACGGGCAGGGTTTAGATGGATCCAGAGGGTCTCTTCAAGCGCTGTGATTCTAAGAATATTACAGTACTATTATTACTATCATGGTGATGAGGTGTTCAGTGGATTCAGAAAGAGGAAAAGAAAGGGGTAAAGAATCATATGAAGGTGTCTGTTGATTCTTATGAGCCCCCAAGCATCAGCAGCTGGTGTAGGTGGCTGGTTGGGGGTCTTCAGAGTGCGGGTGACCAAGAGGGAATGTGGAACTCACACGCTGTAGTAAAGAAGGACACCTCTCTGGGTTGTCACAGATCCTGTCACAGTTATTGGAGTGAAGGAAAGCAAATCACGGACAAGCATTGGTGGGTGAGAGGCAGCACATGTATCCATACACAGAGAGTTCAGAAATGTTTTCAATGTGCCTCCCTGACAGGGGCTGGACTCTGACCCTCAGGGTCCCTCCCAGCTCTGCATTTCTGAATTGATGATGATGACCAAAAGGCAGTTTTATTGACTCCCCTGACCCTTGGGGAAGGAAGAAGGCAAGATGGAGGTGGGCAAGGTTGGGGAGGGGGTCCTCTGGTCTAAGGGCAGAAGAGACACTGGTGGTTGGGGAAGGCAGGACCAAGGGGCAGAGGGCAGGCCTGGGAAGGAGGGAGGGGAGTCCCAGGTCTGCAGGAGGTGCCCCTCCCCCCAAGGCAAGAGAAACAGATCAGGATAGACTTTCTGCCTCCAATGCCAACCCACCCCTAACGGGTTCAATGATGGGCCTCAGATGGCAGATCTTTCAGGGGTGGGTGGGTTCTGTGTGATCTAGAGGGATGAACTGAGCCTTTGAGGACATGGAAGGGCAATTTATGAAGACTCCCTTGACTTGGAAGAGAGCCCAGCCGGATTCCCTTGTGTTTGGCAGGAAAGTGTATGTGTGTTCTGTGTCTGACCTAGATCAGATAGAAAGCTCTTTAATCTCTCTAGATTGAGAGCGAAGATCAAAGTTCAGCTGAAATGCACAGGGAACTTCTTCTTCGCCAATGATGCAGTCGTTGTTGCCCACTCTGCTAAAGAGCTCAGACAACTTACGAATCGTTTTAGTAAGGCCTGCCAAGATTTTGGATTAACAATCAGCCTGAAGAAAATGCAAGTCATGGGCCAGGGCATAGACTCACCTCCCTCTATTACCATCTGTGATGAAGTGTATTTTTCTAATTAGAGATGGGTTATGTAGTCATGTCTTAACCATAGAGGAATCCATTTTGAGTCTGACACAGGCTAAGTTCTGGAAAATTACTAGTAGTTATTTTCAGAGCTTTATTCGCTAATCTTATCGCCGCAGCTGGAGAGAAAAACACGGCAGAGTCAAAATATCTCTAACCTGAATGATAAACAATTCTTTGGTGTTGGTGGGAAAGTAGGGCGTACCCTATGCTAATTCTTGCCTTCGTGATTGGTTGAATATGTCAGGAGGGGGCAGGTTGGAGAAATTTACAAGAGGTTGGAAAAAGTAACTCAGGGAGAGGGAGAAGAGAGTTTTGGGTATCTGAAAACATGGCGTTGCATTTCTTTGATCTCATCGAA